ATTTTTTTCTACAATTGTTTATCTGGCATGCATTTTTTCTTAATCATATATCATTGAAGCTTATATTCCATAATCTGTTTAATAATTGGTATGTTGGTTTAGCGAGCCTAGCGAATCTAACTAGGATTCAACTTTAAATCAATTGCTATCATCAATTTTTGAAGTTAGAAAAATTTCAATTAAATCTTGTTCCATATCAAAATAAATTATCTAAAGACACAGTATTAAAATATTAAGATATGCAAAAACAATCCAACACGACATTAAGAAAGTCTCGTTTTATGCCTTGTGAAAACTTGTGGCTCAGAATGTTTCAGATGTCAATTAAGGCTGCTTAACGAACCCGGGCGAAGGATTAATTATTAATTGTTGATTATGAATTATTCATTAAATACTAAGTTTAAGATTATAAATTTTTTTATTATATAATCTGTGTGGATAGGAACAGAAGAAATAAAAAATTAAAAAGTTAAAAAGGGCTGTCACGATCGTAGCTTTGACTACAGGGACCCAACAATAGGCCCAATATGTCTGACCCATGCCGCGCATGCCGAGGCTGGGCCCAGGCCCTTTTAGCTACCCGTTTCAGTATTACACGGGTCTTGCTAAGCATTACTACTCTGGTTTCACCAACCCACCAGGATATTAATATTATTATTTTTTTAGAATAATGTAAATGATAAAAAAATAGTTTAATGATGTCATAAAGAGCCGATTTGTTAACTAACCAAACTAATGTACGAACTCGAAAGAAATTCAACTCGTTCGTCAAAAGTAACGAGTTGAATTCGAATATCAACTAGCTAGGTGAGCTAAGTTAACAGTTCGAAAAATTGCATAATCGAGCCTTAACGAGTACTGAATCAGTTATTAAATGAGCTCGAGTTCGATTCATTTATCAAACGAGCCAAACAAAACTTGATAGTTTACGAGTTGAGTCAACTCGAGTCGAGCAGATTAACGACTCGATTTGTTTAATAACTGTGCACAAAAATTCTAATTTATGGAGTTTGCCTAACTAACTAACTTGTCATCAAATATTGATTGAATATATTAGATTTTTTTATCTTAAGTCAACCTGACAAAATATCATGCAATTTTACCTTTAAACTTTTGTCAAAGTCAACGTTGAAGAATATATAAACCATCAGCCTCTTAGGGAAATTAGTGGCTAATGCCTGAGGAAGAATGTAGTTGATTAAGATATTTGTACTTATTAAAATGATATATTATATATATTATTTTATATTATTGAACAAATACCGTTACTATTATATATAATTAACTATTTAAGTATTTATAAAAAAAATTGGATTGACTTTGCGAATAACCATTTTTTACTGACATCGAATTTGAAGTTCCAAAAAGAAAGAGATAAATAAAACTCAACGTCAGAAAAAGTGTCAACAAACTATAAAAAGGAGTTTTTAAATTTTTATGATGAAACTAACATATTTTACTGTAAATAATAATATGACATTTTTATAGTATAAATATGCATTTTTATTATAAAAGTGTGCATGAATAAGAAGCTTGCCTAACGGCCTTGTAGAATCATGCATTTGTAAGATTGGTACCACTGACATTAGAATGGCCTAATCATTATAAAAAAATATTTTTCAACTAATATATATACATTTACAATAAGATCTTATATTTTAATATAAAAAAAGTATGACATTTTACAATATAGATATGCATTATGTTTAAAATGAAAATGAGAGATTGACTAGTTAATAATCAAAAAGATGATGAGTCAATTAATTAATAATTAAACAGTCTCACAATAGTATTAGGTAAATTAAAAATGATTGTAATGTTTTTAGCCAATGTTTTTATGGTATTTAACTATAAAATACGGTCTAACAATCTACGTACATAGATTACCAAATGAGTACCCAAATTGAAGGAAATTCATGTCTAATATAACACACACACACACTATATATATTATTATATAAAAATATAGTTACCGGAATAATGTAGCTGAATCTTGAAAGTGAAGTGACCAAAGGATAGTCATGAAATTCCGGGTCATCTGTATAAAATAGAAATATATATATATATTAAGATAGTAGAATTCATATTATNCTAAAAAAAAAAAAAAAGTTACATTATTCTTTCCAGACATTGGCCCCATATCACTATATTCCTTTATTTTGTTTATAAGCGAATCGTGAGTTTTACGGTTCACACAAATAGACTAAAATTTAACAAGAAAAGTAAAATGAAATAACCAAACAAATTAATAAAAAATATGAAAAATTATAGATAGAGATGTGTTATTCGAGACCAGCCGAACTGAGTAGCTCCCGTTTGAACTCGGGCTTAATTATTTATTAAACAAGTCAGCTCACTTTATTTGTTTAGTAAATTTAAAACTTTAATCGAGCTGTTGGGGAATATGAAATATCCGTTTGCGAATAATTTCACCTCGATATCTTCATTAAAAATCTATAAAAAAATTAAAAATGAATTATTTGTGAATAAGCTCGACTCGTTTAATAAACAAACACGATTAACTTTTCGAGCTCGATCGGCTTATTCAAGTAAATGAACGAGCCGTGCTTGAACTTTAACAAATCAAACCGAACAGTGTTTGCAAACCATTTGGTTTTTAACAACTCTATATTTTCTACTATATATTATCTTATTGTTGGGTTCACTAACGATTAGTTGAAATCATAGAACATGTTTGTTTATAAAAAAATTAATTTTTTTTTGGATTATTTGGTGGGTGTGGTTAATTTTGAAAAATGTGGTATGGTTAGTTGTTAGTGGATATATTAAAATAATATTTAAAATAAAATAATTAAAATTGATTTGATGTAAAAGTAGGAGAGAGATGATTTGAAGTGATGGTTAGTTAAAATAATGTTAACGGATGGATAGTGAATTAAGGTTGATGTGGTGTGTATGAATATTTGATTGATATTATTTATTATATTGATAATATTAATGATAGTGAGGTTGAGTTAAAAGAAGTGATTGAATTAAAATATTGAATTTTTTTTGAAATTTTTTTATAAACAAACATGCTCATAAATTTTTATAGCTAAATGTCGTACTTTAACAAATAAATAAGTGAAAAACGTGACATTTCATGACATACATATATTTTTTTAAAAATATATAATTATGTAACCGTGAGAATTCGACTAAAAATATAGAAACAAAAAACCCTACCCTACCTAATAATTACCTGCATATGATTACGAATTGAAATTTCATAAATCCAGATTTGATTAATGTACCCAGGTGAATCATACCTGTAAATATATCATACCAATCTGCGATTTTTCTCATAATAATACGCGTCATCTAGCCGAGTGAATAAAATAAAATAAAAATGAAATCTTGCCATGACCAAGTAAAATATTACCCGTCAAAAAAATTCTTGACAATGTCAATCAAATACTCATTGTTTAATTCCTTCTCTCACTACCCTTTTTCTTCCACATAAAATTATATCTTTTTTTATTTTCATCTTTTTCACTTTCTCTATATATACTCAACATCATCATTGAGAGCCCAATTTTTTCATACTGCCCACAACTTCTAATCTCTCATACATTAAATAAAAATAAAAATAAAAAACAATTTTTTTCCATTGAATAAAAAAAGAAGAAGAGAATTTTGAAGAAAGATTGTGAAGAATTGATCATGGGTGAACAAATTCAAGGTGGGGTTTGTGGAGGAAGCTTGTGGATAAACCCATCGGCAAATCTCTTCCGTTCATCGACTTGTTCTTTGTCCTCGATCAACGGCTCCGGGTGGCCCAGCCACGATCCGCCGCTTGCCGCCGCACAAGCCGCTAGGTCTTTGAGCAACGACTCGGCCGGTTCATGTTCAGATGGACCGGGTTCAGTAGTAATTGATCCAGAAGTTAAACCGTCACAAGAAAACGTATCAATGGCCTCAACCCTTCAAATGATGGGAATCAACCTTTCATCTCACCTAAATATTGATGCTAATTGGAACCAAGATTTTATGTAAGTTTTTTTTTTTTTTTTTTTTTTTTTNTTAATTTACTCTAGGTTAGTCGGGTTTAATAGTTACACAAACAAGATAAGCAAAAATATCATATTTTAAAACTATGCATTTTTTTTTTTACCAAGGTATGATGAGTAGAATCACACCTAACTAATTAAATTGTAGTTAGAAAATCATAAGTTTCCAACATATACACATAGTTTCAAACTGAAATATTATAGTATATGACATTTCATAATATAAGTATGTAATTTTGTTACAAAAGTATAACATGTCGACTCATATAATGATCACAGTTTTGTTATGGAGTCATCGAATGACACGACCCATGGAGTCATCCACACTTATTTACAAATACTGTATTGACACTTGTCCTATAATAAATACACTTTAAACATGTGTCAATACATTAAGTGCTGGAAGGTTTTATAAGTAAACCACTCGATAACTTCATAGAATTTTTGTTAATAATCATACCAATTTATACCATAATTAATTTGTGCTTGAAAATTTACATATTTATTATTATTGTTTGCTTGGCCCAATGGTCCCAAATTTTGTAGAAATTGCTTTTCGAAAAAAATTAAAAAAAGTTGTGTGCCTTTTCCTTTTTATTATTTTTTTGACTTGCTTTGTTTGTAATCATACGCATAAAGAATGAAGCCAAGTTGATTCCAAGAAGCTCATTCTTTTTCTTTTTCTTTTTCTTTTTTTGTTTTTCTCCTGGTCATATTCTTGCAGACATGAAAGCGGAAAATCAGAAGAAAATTATGCTCACAACTTACAACCTTCTTTGATGGACCCAACTGGCATAAACGATTTCGGGCAAAACCCGGGTTTTCAGTTTAATTCGACTCAATTCAACTACAGTTCACCCTTGTTGCAAACTTTGTTCGACGTGGAATCTAATCAACTGGGCCAACAGTTGCAAATGAACAATCATCAGTCGATAAATTACGTGTCGTCGCAAAATTATGTGAACCCGACAGAATTTTGCCCTAATTTACCTAATAATAAAGTTCAAAAACCGCAACATGGTAATAGTCACTTGCAGTTTGCGAATAACGCGCACTTTTGGAGTTCTTCAGCTTCAAATTTCGTGCCCTCCAGCACGGCTCAGTTTGTTCGCCCTTCTTCTCTTCATAGCGGAAAATCTAATTTTCACAACCTTAGTACAAAGGTATCATTTTCATGATTTACGTATGAAATTGGTTTTGTACATATTTTATTAAAATGTATATTTTTTGCAAATATAAATAGACCAAACATAATCATGGTGTAATATGTATAATCATATGCTTACAAAAATGTAACTCTAGTTTAGTTTATAAGCTAACTAGCCTAGTTTAAGAATGAAAGTTCAAAGTTTTAGATGTTAATTGTTGGTAGTTAATTAATTCTTGTACATTATTCGGTCAATTGCTAGGTTAAATTAGTACATTGTCCCTCCTCGATTGGATATCTGGATAATTGGAGATTGTAATTTTGAAAATTTATATAAATAATTTGTGGCGTAATTAATCATTTTTTTTAACCTAATTATGGAGATATTAATTTATTTTTCCAGCAACACATTCAAGAAAACGGCCGGGGACTAATTTCATCAGCAGCACAAAAGAAAGCCACCCTTGAACCGGCGATCAAGCGTCCACGTGTCGAAAATCCATCACCCTTACCGGCTTTTAAGGTAAAACTAAATGTAACATTTGTCAATTGTTAAATTACATATGTTGAGTAACATTCTGATTGCAGAAAAATCCCCATATATTAATAACGTTCGAGTATAATCTATCAAATAATGNCAAAAAAAAAAAAAAAAATGCAAAAAAAAACTTATTAACTTATTGCAAAATTGTTCATTAAGTCATGTGATTGGCCAAATGTTGAAGATTTAATTAATGGGTGAGCATTCTCTTGCAATTACAAATGTTACTGGACTTATTAGTTATCATCGATCTGCCTCAAATTCTTAGACAACTCATATGATCGGGCAAAATATTTGAAATTCAATTAATTCATGAACATTTTCTATAATCACAAAAGTTATCGAACTAATTTGTCATTTGCCTATCAAGTTTCTAGATATTTTTACAATTTTGCTAGTGAATATAAGCAATTGCCTCAACAACTATTAGAGTACAAAATTAAAGCCTTACTTGGAACTTAAACAGGTTCGAAAAGAGAAGCTTGGGGATCGAATAACAGCTCTACAGCAGCTAGTTTCCCCTTTCGGAAAGGTACTTAAATTTAATTAAAATTTAAATACTCATTTTTTATTTTTCAGATTTTGATTGGTTTATTCATAATTTTTTCATCTAATTAGATAATTAAAATATGTTACTCTTCATTTCAGACTGACACTGCATCAGTTCTCCATGAAGCAATTGAGTACATCAAATTTCTCCATGAACAAGTCAGTGTATGTGCCCTCTCTATGTACTTTCAAATTAAATTATTACATATATTTTTCATTAGAAAATAGTCTTAATTACTTTTCTATGCTCTTCTATTTACATTTTATTTTTAATAATCTGCAATTTGCTTTTAGGTGTTAAGCACTCCATATTTGAAAAATGGATCTCCTCATCAACTGCAACATCAACAGGTAGGACCTAATTAATTAATGATCCTTCAAAATATAATTTTAAAAGAAGAGAATGAAAAGGTAATTAAATAGTTAAAATTTAAATAACCCTTTTAAAAATTCAAAAATATATACTGTTTTTCATTAAAATTTTGTGCCTATGCCTAAATTTACACACTACTAAAAAATATATTCCAACAAATTCCAGCGGTAACTTCAACTGATATTCCAATATTATAACTTTTATGTAAAATTCCATGAAAAATTTTATTGGGTTTTGCCGATTCCAATAACATTTTTTATATGGTGAGAAAAAAAATAATTCCAACAGAAATTCTTACAGCAATAAACCGTTGGAAAAATATTATTGGAATCATTAAATTCCAACAATAATTCCAAAAATAAAAAATTATGCAATGAACGTTTTTAGCATTGACATATGTAATAATTTCCTAAAGAAAACTATAATATTGAAATATCAGTATATAATTTTCTTGGAACTTTTTTAATCGGAAT